ATCTGTCACATTCGCAACAGCAAACTCCCGACAGCCTTTTTGAGGAAGAAGAAGGAGAAGGAGAGACTCACCCGTCTCCTGCAATGGTTCCATTTCCGGTTTCAGTCGAGTCGATAACTGCCGCTGCAATTATCAAACGGCAACTGTCAGTGGATGAATACAATCGTGTTGCGGTAAGGATGAAGAATGAGGATGATGATAACCACGATGATGAGGATCCGCGTTGCGCAGTTTGTTTAGACAACTTGGAGGGGAGTCATGAGGCGAGGGAGCTCCTCAATTGCCGACACGTCTACCACAGACACTGCCTTGATGCTTGGGTTGAGAAGGGCCACCTGACGTGTCCCCTTTGCAGAGCCAAGTTGTTGGCGGCGGAGGATCACATGGAGGAGGAGGTGGTACCCCGGGATCCATGGAGGTCGGAGAGGATGATGTATTTGTTTGGCGAGGACGTTTTATTTTGATTTGATGACCATCCACCAAGACTTCACTTAAGGATCTGTCATCCCAATGTTGTTTCATGCCCATATGTTAGAAACCATCGATGTACTTGTATACAACTATACATACAGATATATGTGTGTACTGCGAGTTGCAGGAGCAAAACTATATAGTACTAATAATATCAGCAAAGTCCCATTACGGAAAGAACTTGGGTCTTGCTTAATTTGGGATCAAGAGCCTTCCAAACTCTAAATGATGTGGAATCCCTTTTTTTTTTTTTTCTTTTTTTTGGGTCGTCATCTCATTGTGCTTCTTGATTAACTTTTGCTGTATGGAATCAAGTTTACGTGTGCCAACATCTTATTCAATATCTAGCACCACCCAATCTTATGGTAATTAGGACAAATCGCTAGCCAGATCGGTCTTTCATTTCAGTCCTTGAGAACTCATACGACATTCACAATAAAAACAAATTAATAATACTCCCATTTTCCTTTCACAAAATACTTGGTTGTGGTTGAGGTCATGTACTGCTTTTCCACGCACGTGGAATACTACATTAATGGAATATACTAACTACATACTAACTATTAACCATCAGCCTTAGTGGAAGGTAAGGTTTGTTATAATTGCGATTCTTCAAAAAAATTCAGATGAGTGCGTGGTATACCTAATTGGTTTGGTGGTAGTTATTATCCATTGTTAACGTTGCCATGGGATCATCATTGATTGCCTTCTCTATGAGCATCTTCGCCACCAAATTCGTCTTTTTATACCCTGTTGACTTTTCCAAAAATAAAAACTTTTAATTTCTTATATGGTTAGATTTTAGAACCTATTAAGTACTAGGTCCGGTTGAATGACTTTTAGAATTCTTCCGCAGTTAAATTCAGAATTCAAATTCAAATTTAAATTCAAAAAAAAAAAAAAAAAGACGTGGAGAGGAAGCAAAAAGAAACATTTGGATAGCGCAGTAAATTGCACCCGTATACATCAAGCTTAGGCAAATATCTTGAAATATTGCCTATTGAAATGGAGCATCTCTCCATCTTGAAATATTGCACCCGTAAAATAATTATTGAAGCACAAAAATAAATAGATAAATACATCACTAGTCACGAACAAAAGTACATAGATTCATCACTAATCACAAACAATGCCGAGTATACTGATTCTGACCCCAGAGGTTTCACACAGGAGTTGAGCCATTCAATTGTTGCCTGCCATATTCTCTTCGAACGCGTTCGCGGGACACGAGTCCATCGGAAAATGGTTCGGATCGATTTTGTGCAAACTACACAAGATATAATTTACTTGTCTTATATATAGTGTAAAAAAGATATATAAAATGCAATCTGCACTTTATATATATTTTGGTAAAATCTTGACAATGAACGCCGTTCAGGAACGATTGCTGCCCACAAACCAAACGTTCCTGCCCCTCCCTCGGTCACATTCACCGTTAAGTCAGCTTCTTCTTTTTTTCCTTAAAAAAAAAAAAAAAAACAAAGGGCCACGGACGTCGTGGCCAATATTTGCAACAAATACCACCGTGAAGGGATTTAGATGCAATTTTTTGCCTGGATGGCGCGGGTAAGCATTTATAAAAAGGATACATAAATAAAAGGGGTTTTCTCACTCGTTGTGCCTGTTAGTCACGGCGGGCACAAGAAATGCCCACAAAATCTCCTCATCTTTTTATTTTGGACAATATTTGAAGAAATTTACCGTCAAGCTTAGCTTAATTTTTTGGAGATATAATTCTAGCAAAACAGAATTGCACCCTTTCTTTCCCCAACGCGAAAAAAAAAAAGAACAAAAAACACACACAAAACCAGATAGGTTTGTTTGGATTGTAAGTTATTTGAGATATTTTTACTGTAACACTTTTTGTGATGTGATATATGTGAGATAAAAAGGTAATTGAAAAGATAAAAAAATGAATTGAAATTTATAATAATGATGTAAGCAAATGTATTTGAAAAAATAATCAACTGTATTCCTCTAGACTATCATCTTGACATTTGACCTCTCAGTTTCGTATGGAATGCGTCAAACCCCAGCTCATCAATCGAATCACAATGTCTAGATTTTCCTTTCTTGAATGGAGAATTAAAAAAAAAAAAAAAAAAAACTGTATCCGCTCCGCAGCCCTCATTCTTGACAAAATCGTACACGTAGATACATTATGTGCATTCTCATAGCTTTTTCATTTGGTGCGGCCATGTATACATAGAAAAGTTTCATTTTACGTTACGACTGTAATTTTAAATATATGACTTGCATTTATTTTTTTGACCTAATGCTTAATCATCCGATCTTTAGGGGTGTACAAAATTGAAAATTTTCGATTTATTGACCGAATTCGAAATTCTGAATGGAAATCGGAATATCTGATTTTGAATTAGTCGAATTCGGTAATGAAATTTGTCAAATCGGAATTCGAAATTCCTATTTCGATTTCAAATATGTTTTTCATATATAATATAACATCTATATTATAATAATAATTTTTATATTCATAAATTTAGTGAAATCGAAATTCCTATTTCGATTTAAATTTCGTTTTTACACATATATATAATATTTTTATATATATATATGTAATATAATATTTATATAATAATAATCATTTTTATATTCATGAATTCAGTGAGATCAGAATTTACTGAATTCCGAATTGAATTCGGAATGAATTCGAATTCAGAATTGATGAATTCGAAATCGAAATCGGTCGAAAATTCTGATACCAAAATTTTGAAAAATTCCGATTTCAAAATTTCGAATTACCGATTTCAATTTCGATTCACACCCCTACTGATCTTGATGTCCAATTGTCATTCAAAGTAAAAAGTTTTAATCAAATTTTATTATTGACAAATTCTTTTTGTAGCTAAATTAATTTGACAAAAGAATTACTTTCTCTATATATCTATCTCAAAGCTTGACATGTTATTACCTTTTATTAAATTATATTTGCGAGCATATGATATGGAATCAACTCGTCATTTATCCCATAAGAACATAAAATAAAAAATAAATAAATTAGCTCGACTTTTTTGTAGAAATTATACAAGAGAAATTTGGGGAAAAAAAAACACTGACATGAATTCGAGCTCTTGTTACCTTGTTTCCCTAGGACTAGTGAATTGCATGCCCACTTCAGAAAAAAATTGGGCCCCATGGGTTGTGCTCTGTCATTCGGCCGACTGGCCCAAGAAGTGGTAGCAGCCATCCCAAGCATGAGGAATTGGACCACGGTCACGGATCTAAACCTCAACGAATCAGTGTGCGTCCTTCTCTGAAACAGACATATCACAAAGCAAAATGAGGCCAGCGGGCTTGATCCTCGATTGTACGGGGGTAAAAACAAGAAAAAGGTACTATGAGGCCAAGGCCAGCTCAATTGATGAAAACGTATAGTTGATGGTGGCCTAGGCCAGCCCAATCGATAAAACATTAGTACTGCAGTTTTTAATTTGACACTCAATGTTTTTTTTCCCCTTTCCCTTGTAAGTGTTAGATTGTCCCCATACTACTCTGAAGTCTAAATGAGTAAATATCCACACATCCATGCTATTCTTTTACTTCGTTAAATGACTGGAACATCTTTGATGTACAAATTTAACATTTTTCCATACCAAATATTTACCGTCATGCTTTGTCCCACCACCCACAATCCTTGAGAATACTTTTTTCCTCCTCTATCCCCACCAACCCCCCCCCCCCACCAAAAAAAAAAGAAACAAAAAAAGACAGAAAGAGAACAAGAAACTCGTCAAAAAAATTTTTTGTCCTTAGTTGTTTTTTGGAAAACCAACTAAAACTTGCTTAACTGTGAGCAACAAATTGCCCCATATTATATATTTCCCATGATTTCTCATACCAAAATAAGGAAAATCAAATAGTGTGTCATTAGAGGGAAAAGAAGAATTAAAATGAGAGAGGACTGACGACTGAGGGCAACAAGCACGGGTTCAAGTCATTAGTGAGAGTAAATGGGGCAGCTGTGGCGTACTGTGATAGACGGTAAATCAAGAGCAATGTAAACGATGATGGTTAGCCAAGTAGCAGGCCGGCCTAGTAAGTAGAAATCAGCAATAGAGAAGAAGTGAGTGTCATTTTGTAAAGGGCCCAAGTCGGAATGGAGGAAGAGAATTTCCAATTTCTGATCCGTAAGAGAGCCTCTAAAATTTCTGGTGGGCGCCTAAAGTCTGAGCCACAAAACAACGGAGTCACCCATCCATCCCCCGCTCCGTTCATGGCCAACCAATCATCCCTCTGTCAACTTTGTCTCCAACCACCATCTTTACCACCGCCGCCTCAACTACTGCTGCTGGCTGTAACTGAGCAAATCAATTGAAAAATTCATTCACATGTCTTCACATCAGTCACCACCACCACCATCTTTACCTCAGCCGCACCACCTTCAACTCCAATCTCCTCATCATCTCCCCAAAAAACCATCACTTCACTCCCAGACTTCATCTTCACCGCCTTCTCCCTCTTCCTTCTCGTCTCTTCTCCCAAATCCCCACCACCGCTTTCATCCCCCTCCCAAAATCTCTTCCGCCTCAACCCTCGCAGGTTTCTCAGAATCCCCGACATGTCCCTCCCTTCTTCCAAATCCCCCAGCAACCCCAGCTTCCCTACCCCTCAATCCCTCTCCGATTGGCTCAAGCCCCGCTTGCCTTCCGACTCCTTCGCTTCCTGGGGTGTCAAGCCCGGCACCAAAAACGTCCACAATCTCTGGCTCGAGCTCTCCGAGGGCGAAACCTTGCTCGCCGATTCCTCTCCTCCCATTCGATCCCTCCAAGTCGTCGTTGTCAGGGTTATCGGCAAACATAATCGAGTCCTCCTCGAATCCCACCAAGAATTGTCCAACGGCGTCATTCGCCACCGCTGCAGGCCTCTGTCTGAGAAAATGAAGCCCGGGGAATCCGTCGAGGCCGCTGTTTCTCGAGCCGTGAAAGAAGAGCTGGGCTCCGCCATTCGTGGAGATTTTGGTGACGAGGGCATTGTTAAGATTGTGCCCGATTCGTATTGCAAGAAGGTGGAGGAGAGGGTTTCTGCGTCTTATCCGGGATTACCAGCTTGCTATGTTCTGCACACGGTGGATGCTGTTGTGGAGGGCTTGCCGGAATGCGAATTTTGCACGGAAGAGGTTGAGGAGTACATAGATTCCGAGATGAAGAGAGTGGCCGAAGGTGCATTTTCGTGTAAAAAGCATTTTTGGAAGTGGGTTGATCCCTGTTCTGTTTAAACTTTAGAATCTTTGATGTGAGAGGTCAGTTTTGAGGTCTCTTGACCGGAGCAAATTTTGGTGCATCTAAGTTCTAATCCTCAAATGGGTTAGTGCTTGCCAGCAGCAGCTGAATGTATAGACACCAGCACTCTTGAATGATGGAACAATGACTGTCCTCCTTCAGCTTATATTCACTTCCTCAAGGATCTTGCTATTGGTATTTTGCTTGTGTCTGTTGTACAGTATAGGTAGATGCTCAATGAAGTCTTGATCGATTTCAAGCTAAACTGATGCTTTTACAAACATTATAGCGTTGAGAATGCTATGCCACGATTACGAACGTTCATTCCCCCTGCCTTAAATTGATTTTTTCAGTTTATGCTTCCTCAATGAGATGTCTGATTCGTTCAAAAATAAATCAGTAAGTTGTAGCTTGTGGCACAACTGTCACTAAGCAGCACAAGTTGCTTCTAACTCTGAAAATGACCCACCTGCCTGGAGGACTCAACCCACAGGCGGGTAAGGGAAACTGGAGATTTGCTGTAAATGGCCTGAAAAATTGTGTACCACAGTGCTTGTTACATATAGATGCATAGCTAAATTAGATCAAAAAAGTGATTATCATCCTTGTGGATTCTCCAGAGTCTCGATGTTTCAAACATGATTGTTTCTTGATATATTTCCATAGAATATTTGTGCATTTGGATTGTAGGATTACTTAAGCAATGACCTGAGTGATTCTGTAATTATCGTTGCATGGATCATCTTCTTGTATTTTGGTAAACAAGAAATGGCTATGCTCTCCCTTTTTCTAATTGTTTGCTTTCCTCTGTGTTTGGGCTTTTTCCTTTCACATTTTCTAAATAAACTACTTTTTGGGTTCTGCTTAAAGCTATTCCCTCACTGATGGTGGCTCAAATAGCCCTTTGACCTTGCCTGCATGGCTGCAAGCCTGCCCTCAGTCTTAGTCCCAATTTTTTATAGGAAATATTTCTGATGCCTTGACTTTAGGCCAATAGATACAATCATGGAAGTTCTGTCAGAACACAGGATTACAAAAGATTAAAGAATGACCTGGAAGAGGGCATAAAGATCAAAGCACGACAGATCCTTGACGAGTGATGACGCTGCGGATAATGTTCTTAGGAACCATCATTGGCCGTGGAATGGTTGGTTTGGTAATTGGAAGATTCGTTAAGCCAATTCTGTTCTGGGTCAGATGTATTCCTTTTCTTCAAAGTGGAAGCTCCTCGTCTTTGCTGCATATCCTGCTCCCTTTTGCGTCTTTTTTGGTCCCAGAAAAGTGCAGACAAGTTGTAGGAGCGAATGTATACAGTCGTCCACGCATGAACTAGCGGAACCAGATTGTTACTTTAAATTGTTACTTGAACCTTTCCCACTTCAGACGTGCCAATTACATTTAATAGCATCTTTATCGTCTCAAGTTGGAATGAGAAAAATTGAGGATGATGAATGATAAGAAAGCCATGTATCTAGTCTTCGTTTTTCCCTTGTCGTCGTACATAACTGAATAGTGGGACTATTATTGATCAATTCTTACTTTTGCTTCATGTCACACCTAATTCGTAACAAGCAATTATATCCACAAATACTTCAAAGCTATTTACTTACAAAATGCAAACCAAAACTTGAAGCAAGAAAAGTTAAAAGAGTCGGGCACGAGGGTGCTCATTGTGCTTCCCAGTAACAGATGACGTGGTCGATTCCATATGAGCTTGAAAAGGAAAACTTTACAGAGTAGGCAGGCAGCAGGCTTGATAGATATGCAGTCCTTGTTCAGAGGGTGATAGAACACTGAGTTCCTTGCTTTGTGCTGAGAGGGCCAGTTGGCAAGGAGGGACCAAAAGGCATGATGGCTATACAATTTACGTTGAAACGATACCTCCCGGAAACCCAAGTTCCAACCCTCCACCGGAGACGGCCATTTGCCTTGAGATTCAGTAGCAGATTCCCAGCAGATTGGTCGCGTCCTACCTCATAGCCAAAAGAAGGAGCCACAGGTAGTCCATTCCCGACCAAAGACGCTGAAAGGAGGTTGCTCTCTTCATGCGCTTTGATAGAACGGTGGAAGAGAAGTATCCAGAGTGATTTGTTGGCCCTTGTAGGATGCATACACTTGTAGAATATCGTAGTAAATACCAACTTTTTTGTTGGGATTGTTGGACAGTAAAGTAGCTTGAATGGAAGAGTTGAGAAGGTGTGGACCTGAGAGGTTTAGTTGATAGATATCAGCTTCTTTGAGTGAAAATTGAGGTTTGGAGGGGTGCAGAACGAGCCAGATGAGGAAGATGAGCGCTGAAAGAGAGAGGAGGAATGTGGAGAAGGTGTAGAAGAGCTTTTTGTTGAACTTCAATTTGTCAACTGCCAATCCTTGCTTATTAGCACAGTGTTTGGGAGATTTTGCATGGATTTGTGACATTTGCAGCAAGGGAGTAGTGAGGAGGGAGGGAAGCCAACGCCCGGGGGGAAGTTTACAATGCCAAGCAAAGGGATAGGTTTGGGGTTTTAATAACACTAGCTTCCGGAGACGGAAAGAAGCAATTATTGTAGCCTTGCTGCTTTTGACCGGCAGCTGCTAGTGAAAATTTTGCCTCTTTTAACTTCTCTCGAATTCAATGCTACTACTTTCTAAAATGCCGGGATTTGTCTGTATTATGTCCTATGAATATTGGGGGCGTTTGAGTAATTGTACGTATGCTTTCGTCCGTGTTTGTGTGTGTGTGTGTGTGCCTTTAACATCTGTATTAGCAGTAGTCTCCGGCTCTACGCATCTACGGCCACTTGGTGGTGGATTTGGTAAAGGCGACGCACAATCAACAAGATATGATTAATCTTTTGCAAAAGCTGAGACTGAGCTATTTATTGTCTCACTTATTGCGCAAGGCATGAGAACTTGGTCATTTTCTGCACCCAGCCTTTCTGTGTCGAAGATCTGGGACTTATGGTCCATCGGTCCCTAATGCACTTGAATTTGCATTTCACCATGAAACGAAACTAAAACTGCTGATGGACTATCAGAAGACAAGTTATGGTTGGCGGTTGGAACTTGTGATCATGCGACTCGCAAGCCGTCTCATAAAGGCTTCCTTGGTTGTTTTAGATGGGGTTTATCTGGAGTACACAGAGTACCGTTTTTTACTCCCTCTTCTTTCGACAGCGGGGAGGGGGATCTTGTATTCTGCATTGCTTGGGGATCCATAGCTAAGTTTCAAGAAAATGAAGTGGTTTTGGCAGCACGAGCTGTGAAAGGGGAAAGCATGTGTGTTACATAAAGACATGCATGGCTTTGAACTTAGCTAGCGATTGTTTATTAGCAGCTGAAACTCACTGAAGTAGGGTTATTTCCCATCGTGAATATGCAATGCACTTTTGCAGAGCATGCATGCTTTAGAAATATACCCTAAAATCATAGAACAGTGGTAAATCATACTCTATATTTTTTCTCGCCGTGGACCTGACCAAGAGGATTGATCAAAGAGGGATGCAGGGGATATCTCTCTTTCAGCAGGAATCTGAGGGGAGCGCTTTCGGAATAATTGCAGAAAAAGTTGAAGCCTTTTTTTTAAAGTGCTAGTGGCAAAGATATGATAGCCTTTCCAATCAATTGGAGTTCAGTGACACTTGGTGCTGTGGTGACCCCTCCTGTCTAATTTTGGTTAGTAGAATGATGAGTGTTGGAAAATGAACAGGCATTTCGTTTGGCTTATGGGATAATTTCAGAAAAATCCCTTGGGGGGTTTTCGACAATTTAACTTAGCACCCCTTAGCTTAAAAAAAAATGACTTGCCTCTCTTATTTTTAACTTTTTGTAACACTGTCAATCCATTTTAAAATATATTATTTGAAAACTCATTTTTATATAGAGAAGATGTTTTTATATTAATTTTTTCTAAAATCAACAGCATGTAATAGAATATTGAAAATAAATACAAATTGTATTAATGTATAATTTTGATGGACACAATGTAACAATAGGTATATTAACGTACAAAAAATTGATTTTAAGAATGTATTCAAAGTGTTTCCAAGCCAAAAAGACTATTCCTTTTATTACGAAGTGTTTTCAGTCAATTTTTAAAATTTTTTGTTTAGATTTATGACTTGAAAATAAAAAAAAAAAGACAAAATGATTATATTTACAAACTCATTTGAGGTTTTCTCAAAAGCAAAAATTATTTTTTAATTCAAAAGATGCTTATGGATATGTGTCTGTGTGTATATACATATACACACACACATATACACACTTGTTTGAGGTGTTCTAAAGGTTCAAAATACTGTGTTCCTTATTGTAAAATTCTTGGATTAACTTTTATTGATTTTCTAAATTATTTAGAATCTCAAAATTTTTTATTTATTTATTGTGTAGACTAATGACACCAAAGTTGTTAATAGGTTTTCCAACATTGTTAATTGCTCATCATTTCTAACTAAAAAATTGAATTGGCCAATTTTTTAAAAATTAAAAAAACTAGACTCATTATGAAATCAAAATGGTTCATAAGAAAAGGGCAATATTGGAATGAAAGCATATTCTCTATTCACTAACGAGTATTTCAATAATATATCTTGAAATGGGTTGATAATATTAAAGAAATTAAAAATAAGAAAAGCAAGTGATTTTTTCAAAATTTAAAGGTGCAGAGTAATATTGTTACAAACTTTAAAGAGATTTCTGAAATTGTGCCTTGCTTGCATAATTAACTTATGAAAGCCAAATTAGCCAAAATCCTTTTCTGGACTATTGGCGTTCGTGTACTGTGTAGTTAAAAAATTTAGGGTAAATTACCAAAAACTTTATTGCGATTTGTCGAATGTTCGATCAAAGTCCCTTTGATTTGGAAACCTACGGTACAGTGCAAGTTATGTAATTATGGAAGGAATGCTAAAGTAAAAATCGTTGAATCGGAGGAATACTAAGGGATTTGAGATACAAGTACCAACAAGAGAATGAATCTTCCTTGCAACTGACATCCTATTTTGATGGAATTCTCCGCTAATTCGTGAAAGAATTTGGGAAATTTTGAATTTAGGGTTTTTTTTTTTTTTGGTTTGCTTTCACTCTCTCTATCTTTCTCGATCCTTCGGATTGCAAGTCTAAGAATGAAGAAAAATTTTCATGATGTATTCATTTATATAAGGATAAAATTGATATTTTATGTGCAATCATTAGATTGGATGTTTTCATGTAATTTTCAGGGAATTATAGCGTAGATTTTCAAATTAAAAGGAGTTAAATTAAATATTCGATAAACTACAATTAGCTTTTTTGATGTTTTACCAAAGAATTTGGACGGCGTGCCAGTGTACTCAATGGACCTTTCCCCGTAATTGCTTACATAGCTGAGATGGATTCTCCCTTCATTAGTATAGGATATTATATAGGTAATGTCCCTTGGAAAAAAAAAATTTTCAAAAAAAAAAAACCAGAATAAAAGAGGCGTAAACAGAAGAAAAGGGGAAGTCGGCTAGTGCAAAAAGGAAATCGGTCTTGATGTCGCAAGTCACCCTTAAATTGATTGAGCAGTGGGGACGAAGATTTCAAAAGACGGAGAGAAAAGAGCGAGAGAGGACATGGAAAATATGCGATGCGAGAGGAGTTGCTTTTAAGTTAAGAAAACGGCTTTACCGCTTTTTCGCCCCCACACGCTTATTTTTTGTTTGTTTGTTTGTTTGTTTAGGGAGCCAAAGCTCAGCTTTGATTTAAGCATTGAAAAGTAAAGAAGTGGTCTTTGCAGTTGTTGAGCCCATGAGTCAGTGAGGAGGAGGAAGTCCAATCCAGGGCTGGGCGTGGTTGGTTGCAGGCCGTCTATTATGCCTGTGATTTCAACTGATTCTCCATCTTTCTCGTTCTTTCCCCTCTCAGAATCGCAAATTAAAAGTCGGGCCTTATGGGCCCTGCCCAACACATGTCCACTTTAGTCAGAGGTGGCGACAAAGTTTAAATCTATTTTTCAAGGAAAAAGAAAGTTTAAATATATATAAAAGTTTAAAAAAAAAAAAAAGAAGTTTGTAATGAAGATTTCCTGCCTTTTGCTGATAGAGCAAAAGAAGAATCAGGTTTTCAATGGACGACCCTTCCAACCGCCACTACATTGCATGTTCATCTCGATCTGCATGACTTGCGTGTTGGGACAAGGGAGTGAGCAATTAATTTCTGGCCTTCCGGATTGTCCTCGATAACCGATTGCTATTTCAGCCGGTGTCCCTTTTTTCCCCCCTTTCTTTTTAGATGTATTTGTGCATCCCACAACTTCCACAAATCGTGTCGTATGATACGATGTTTGAGAGGTGAAAACGAAACAAAAATGGCCAACATAAAAGCAAACACAGCTAAAGTTGCCGAGACTCTTATCTAGGCAGGAGTGGACCAGCAGTACTACCACATCCGCGTCCAACTTCCAAGCTCCCCACTTCGATGGACAGCGATTCAACAACTGATATTTTTTATATTAAAAGCGGAGGGAGGAGTTTAATCCCCGCTCCTCCATCTTAAATCAACATCTTATACCAAGTTTGAATGCTAATGGAGTTGTGCTGATTTTTTTATGCCCTCCCCATCACTATTGGCCAAAGCAAAAATTGAATGGGACGCCACACTCATAGAGGACCTTTTTTCTACTCATTTCACCTGGAAAGTGGTCTTGAGACAGTGACAGCCATTGTCAATTTCTACTTCTCTAAAGATCAAGAAGAATAAAACAAGCGATCTCTTAGATACTAGCAACCCGCTCTATGCTACGACGCGATTTCAACACGGTAGCAAGCAGCAACAATAATTTGCAATGACCAAATAATCATCATAGCCACCAGACAAGGCTATTTACATTATGATTCTGCCAAAAACCGGATAAACAAACAACTAGTCTTAATCAAATTCTAGTCATTAGCCAAGGAATTTGTAAGTGCCAGCAACTAGCTATCTTCCAATAAACAAAGCATCTACAAACAGGAGGACAAAGAAAGGTTGGCAAACCCCTCCGAAATATAGAGCATGCCAGGAGGAAAGGATACCAAGAACTACTATGTTACAACAATAGCTTAACATTGAGTTGATTCCGGAAGAACATGTTGCGCTTTGTCATCGATTAACTTCTGGCACCTGTACATAATTTGAACTTCTACAACAAAGGTAATTGAACTCTGAACTTGATAGATCCTAGCCCTCTTCTCTGGTTCTGAATTGGAGGTCCTCCTCCATTTCATCGACCTTCCATTCAGATGGGTTTACCTACTTATGGGTTTTCAAGTGGAAATTCATTGAGCACTTGGCGAACAAATTGTCCTTTCACCCTTGGACGCTTCTCAGCAAGTTTTTTCCTGCTTTCATATCGCACCTGTAAGAAGCTCAGGAGATAAATTAAAGAGGTGGAGGGGTTTAAAAAAAGAGAGAGAGAGAGAGAGAGACTATTCTTAAAAAGTAGCTCCAAGTATGAATTTGCAGACTTGTAGAAAATCATTAAAAAGCCAATTCTAGTGATCCCTCTAAACAGCAGATACTGGAGAAACTTATACATGCATTTGGCAGACTACTGAACACAACCATCATATAGGAAAAAAAACGGAAGACTGCCCTGCTTTCTTGAATTTCAAGTCCTGATCCCCACTTTCAAACTGTTTTATTAATTCTTCATACCCACAACCAATCAAGCTTTCAGTTTAAATGATTGTAGCAAAAGTTATAACATATCTACCTTCTTCTCAAAGCATCTTTCCTTCCGTTTCAAGCGAAATTTCGTAAGCGCCGCTTCTCTTTGTATTGATCTGATGGAATTTCCATCCTGAACTCGGAAAGCTTCTTCACTACCGCATTCTGCCGCAGACCGGAGAGGAACCGTATCTATCTTCTCATTGCTTCCACAGCACAGGCTGTGCAGGTGATTTACTGTACCATTGCAGAAACTGCTGTTTGCACTCTGATCAGTGGCAGAAGAAACATGTCCTCGGTCTTCCACTTTATGCCCCTCATTGTTCTCATTTTGATCCGTAGTATCACTGTGTGTTTTGAGTCATAAGGCCAGAAAACTGCTGCTGATTTCCTGGTTGATGATTTAGCTGGTACATTGCATTCACTCCAAAGGAAACTTCTTGATGACTAACTGAACCTGGAGGCTGCACCGATGACAGGCCTGATTGCGTACCAAACGCTTGAGGTATCAACGAACCATAGGAGTTGTTTACCCTATCAAACCTTACACCCCTTACAGGAATTGGGGCAGGTAACGATCTAGGTTGAGGGCAAGAAAATCTAGCATCACTTTCTCCGGATTGACCAATAGCCAATCGACGTGTTTTTGAGAATTTATCGTTGGCCCATGAGTGTCAGAATTATAATCGATGGTGTGATTAGATAATTGTTTATCAGAATTGCTTTTCTGTTCTTTCTGTTGATTGCAAGTGCTAGGCGATGTTGAGGGTTGAGGCTGCACGTTCCTGTTAACATACCTGCATAGATCAATATTCCCATCAATCAGATCAAACAAGGTTTGCATGGTCAAAGGTTAACATCTCGAGAGCCAATTAACAGAGAAAGACATAAATCAAAATACTTAAAAGATTTCTATTGTTTGTAAAGTTTATACCAGGAAGAAAAAATAAAAATCCTTCAAGATCTAATTTTGGTCACAGCTTTTCAATTTTGCTCATCCTCTTGACAAATTATTCCCGATTTTGGAACTTGCTTACATTTCATAGATAAACTTGTTTCCATTGCAAGCCCAAGGTAATATGATTAACTCAGATTGCATTATTCTCATCATCAGCACAAGCGAAGGGAATGAGAATCAAGAAGAGGCTGACCAATACCTTTCGTTGAGTATAACTACCCTGGAAGCATGGAGTGGAAGAGTGATAAGTGATGTAGAAAACCAACCCTTCCTACGTGTGACATGAGCTTTCCTAATTCATTTTGCAACTCCTCAATGTTTCTTACCCCAAAAAATTTAAATAAGGAAATTCCTCCCTCGGTGGACTCCCCTCCCAAAAAAAAAAAAAGGACGAACTCTTTGTTTAGAAGCCCCAAAATGTTGCACTAATTGGCCCTCTTGATGTGGATTCTAATTTCTGACTTTTATCTGTCTACCCAACTTGATTTCATTGGAACATAGCTTAGTAATAGTGCATGACACTTGACTTCATTACTGAAGGGTTTTATTTATTTATTTTTCCCGTAGTAAAAAATAATCCAACTTAGAGTGATTCCTATTGGTTCACATATTTGGATATTCTTTCAACTCGGGTTCGCCAGCTTTCATCATTATTGCTTGAATACATATGACAAAACGCAAACTTGGAAAAAAGATGGAAAACACTTTCTAGAAGACAAGAAAAAGATGAACCATTAAACATCAAAGGACCCAACTCCTGGAACTTTTTGCTCGGGAGGCTAACATGGAAGAATTCCCATAGGGAATAAAATTAAAATCAGATTCCTTTCAAGAAAGATGCCCAATTCTTTTATGCATTTGTATAACACCTACGCTACAGTTTTGGGGTTCCTGACACTGGTGGTTCCTTCAGTCAAATTGGATTGAGAAATTCAGCAGATAGGAACAGTTATCAGATGACCACTGTGATACAAAACGATATAGTCCAGTGCTCTCTAATATCTTGAAACGTTTACTGAGCTGACAATGTACGTCGGTATTGCAAATTTCTAGCTTTCAATCTTATCACCGCCTCTTTTATCTTACAGACTGCTAGGACTAATAATGCATAAAGCAAAACATGCCTAACAATTAATAAGAAGTACAAAGAATAGGAGACACCGCAAATGGAAACTAACCTTGAAAAGGCTGATGCATCTGAGTGGTTTAATCTATGTCTTTCATCTGCAATTTGATTTACAGAGACACTTGGAAGAGATCTTCTCAAGGAAAGATCCAATTGTGGCAACAAATCAAACTTGTTTGTACCAGCATTTGAACCAATACTTCTGTCAGTGCATTTAAGGTAGTTATCAAAAGCTCCAATTAAGTCAATTGCTTCTCTAGCAGAATCCTTGACGTTATCACGACCATGATAAGTCACATGATAGCGTTCCCAATGGACACCTGAATTTAGATCTTCACCCCAAGCCATTTTCCCTCTATCTTTGCCACTGGCTTCTTGTGATCCTGTATTTACATAACGCAACTGTGAATCTAAATACTTTCCTGCTAAAAAGAGAAATTGTCTTTAAAAAGATTAGAAGTAACGGCAATAAGAAGAAGAAAAGAAATTACCCTCAGTCCCATTATCAGATACTTGCACTTTCTTACTCGCATTGTCACATCCTTCTTGTTGCTCTATGTCAAATTACTTTGCTTGCTCCACTGCGGATGTGAGAGTCCCTGCATGCATTCCATTTCTGCTCCTTCTGTATCCTGCTCTGGTTTTGTACAAGAGCTCTGCATAACCACAAAAATGGGGAAACTTAGTGTGGAACATCACTTAGGTGCTAAGTTTGATTGCTACAACAATTATCACCTTTGGTTTGAGGGATTATGACAACATATTGACCTTACCCTAGGCATTCACCTGATATTAATTGACTTATTTAAAGTGTACTGATGCTAAAGTCCATGAAGCAGCATAAAATATTTGTATCCATAACAATTTTCTGAGCAAGAGAACGTAGCCCGTCTAATTAAGGTGACGTTTTGAACGCACAAGCATTAATAACTCGCACCCTGCATTGTAAAGAATTTTGACAAATATTTACCTGGGCATCACTTCCTTTCTCAAAGCATTCTCGGTTTTTCTGGATGCAGGCCATGTAATCACTTGAATAATTACTGACAGCATTATTTTCAGCTGTGGCCTCAACCTTCTGTTGTGCAACACTCTCGTCTGGTGGCCCCTGTCCAGCACTGCTTGCCTGATAGGACACATCGAATCAAGTTAGGATTCTATAAGATTGTTAATCGTGAGTCAAAAAAATGAACTAATTAAGAGGTGAAGTCCTGCAGAGGAGCGATGAATATGCTTACAGCTTGTCTCCTCCAGACATGCTGCCACAAATTTCTCAGCTCATTTTTCCTAACAGGTTTGACAAGAAAGTCGGCAGCGCCTCTCAACATGCATTTGTACACAGTACTAACTGAATCCTGTGAAGACATCACTTCAGAAAGGGAATTGAACATTAAATCACTGTTCAAAATGAGATGCCCAGGAAACTGGCGCAGAGATCAAGAAAATAGCAGAGAAACAAAAATTATTCATACTTATAACTGGTATGTTTTTGCAAATCTCATGCTCCATGATTAATGTGAGGAGAGCAAATCCTGAGATTGATGGCAACTCAACCTCGGTCAATATGAGATCTATGTCATGCGGTCTTCCCTTCAGTACCTCCCATGCTTTCAGGCCATCAGGAACTGCAGCAACTGATCAGGCAAATAGAACGAAAAAGTTACTAATATTTCAATAGACATTTCTATGAGGAGAGAGGAATTTGTTTCAAATGATCAGATTGTCAATGAGTGGACATGTTGACAGCTGAGGATGCCAAAATTTATACAAAATGAGGTCATCGACTGTAAAAAACTGCCACACGATGATATCTAGAGTTATAATAAACATGCAAATCATGTTCTTCCACATCATGAACTTCCGCAGATAAAGCACACTTTACGAAGCTCAAAATACACGACGCTTGTCATTTTGACTGCACTTGTGATCTGTCCTTGAAACATTTAGTTCAGTATTTGATCTGTCATTTTGACTGCACTTGTGAAACATTTAGTTCACTGTTTGCAAAGGATCTCTTTCCAACCGTACCTTCATTATTTCTAAGTGAAGGAAAAAGGATAAGTAAGTGCTAACAAGAAGAAAGGCTTGCCCATTACACATAGATACCAGTTAGTATTAATTTTCTCATGACTGAAGAGAAGAAAATATTCATAGATTGAAAGAGGCGACATCTCTTTTGATTTCTAAAAATTAGGCAGCACAAAGATCAAAAGCTGCAGCTTGAAAGCCCACTGGCATAGCCGATAAGATCCTAAATTTGCATCTGATGGTCTATTGTTCTCCTAGGTTGAGCAACCAAAATCGAAACTGAAACTCAATTCTTGCATAAACAGCAAAAGCTTCCCTGACAATCAGATTACCAAAATATTCAATGCAAAGCCTGAAGTAACTACCGTTTTCACAAGCTCGAGGACTTTATGATCATATAATACGAGCTCCAACAGTTGTGGGCCAGATGTTTTGTCAGAAAGAAACATCCATACTCTCTAGTAGTACCGATCAAGCAGTAGAAGCAGAAAAATAGAGGAAGCAAGAAAAAAGAAATACTCCATCCCGCAAAAAAAAAAAGGCATCATCTTAATAAGACCCAAAAACATAAAATTAGGCACCCGGAAGGCAGCAAGCTACCTCTGTAATTGCATTTCCTGAGAAGAGCAGCAATAATCTGTCGAGTGGAATCATCAGCCTCAACCAGCAAGACTCTGAGCACCATTTTGGGGAGAAAGCTTTCCCACCTCACAATGGAAGAAGCAGGTGTCGCTGCAGCCGACGATGTTGAACCGTCAATATTGTCGTTTGTCCTTCCCTTGCCGGTTTGTGCAGCAGCACGCTCTGTTTCCTTCACTTGCAATTCCATTGCTCCACCCCCATCATCACTGCTCACCACCACTTCACCCATCCAATCCAGTGCTTACAAGATGTATTAGCACTAAATTTTGCTGAAGAAAAAGTCTTTACTCTGTCAGATTATTCACCCCAATGAACAGGTTTTTATTGAAACATATAAACGCTGGTAGAATGTTTGAGGAGCCCAATGGGACGCAGAGAGACTTGTTGAGTAGTAGAGGAGCGAGAACCAATGAGCATGAAAAACCCAACTTCAGTGGTGATGGTTTGAAAAATATATAATGAAAATAAAAATTCCGTTCAACGTTTTGGAAAGAAAAATAGTTGGAAGTTGGAACAGGTGCTAGTACTGTACTATGGTAGATAGAGCAGCATTCACATTTTGAAGGAAACCTCCTAAAAAATATCTCCAAATTTTAAACAACTCTAAAAAGCTCCAACCATGGTAATGATCTATCGGTTCGGTGGTCGTCCTTTCTAGCCCTTCCCTCATTTAACCGCCTCAAATCTGATGGCTCACATTACTCCTCCTCCGTGCACGTATGAATCTTTTTTTTATTGCTAATAAATATAAATTAAAAAAAAAAAAAAGAGCCAGTAGATTTAGAGATACTGCTGCGCAAATGGGAAGGCGGACGCAAAATATCCGGAAGAGTCATCCATGTGTATGGCCCAAATTGGCCACGTCGAACCCACCCCACCCCCCACCCTCTCAAATCAGAGAAAAGTATAAAAAAAAAAAGGGGTGAAAGACTTATTTCCCCCACTCCCTCCGCCTTTCATTCGCTTGGTGGCGCTCATTTTTTAAACGTCCATCAGCCAATGGGACAGCAGCGAGGTCTGACCAATAGGACGACTACCTCAATCCGTAAATTAGGCTCAGCTCCTCTAAGATTTTCCACTATTAGAGAAACACCTCTCGAGATTTTCTAAAGCTACAATAAACTATTAACGTAATTGCGAGTATGCCCTGATAGAGTCATTTTTTCAAATTTTATTTAGAATAATTATTATAATATTTTTTTAAAATGTGATGTATATGTAAGATAAAAATGTAATAAATTATTATTAAAAAATAACTGAAAAACATATCTATGGTACAGGTAAACTAATATATTTTAAAAAAATAACTTATATCCAAGCATGCCTTGTTTCTTTACCACATGAATTTCTTTATATAACAACACAACAAGTCACTATGGAATGAACTCTTTGCTGAGGATTTCTATACATAAAAGCAAACATAAATTTAATTGGGCCAAAAAAAAAAGGGAATGTTGTTTGTTTGAGTGGTAGAAGTTTTGATTTTTAAAAACCTATTTTAAAGCTAGATACATTAATAGGTAAAAAAAAAATTGTTGTATTAAACCAATTATTACCAATTATTATGCATCCTATTTTACCAAATGAAGAGAACATTACGAATGCAGTAAAGAGCGGAAAATATAAAGGTTTGAGAAACTAATTAGAAAAGTGGTAATAATTAATATTTGTATTAAAGCAAAAAAGTGTGAGGGTGGATGTACGCAGTTTTACTGGAAGTCAGGGATGGGAGTACAATTGGGCGGATGATATTGATATGAGACGCCCGCAGTGACTAATTAACTGTACCCAGCCATCATACAACATCTCGAGATATTTGTGTGGGAAGAGAGTTGTTAAGGTAATGCGAGGGAGGGAATGGGTCCCAGGAAGAAGATATTTTGGAGCGGGGCATGGACTCTCAAAAGTCTCATGGACGGAATGTTGCCAAGTGGAGACGCCATTTGGGATCTTTTTTGTTTTGTGGCTGCGAAGGTGTCAAACGCTATCTCTCTTTCCTCTGCAGAAACCAAACTACGCGTCCCCAACCTAGTGGCCACTGCTTGAGCCATATGAAAAAACGCTCCTCTATTGGGTGCAATTCTGCAAATCGGAATCGCACGCTAATCATCAACCAAAAATATAAATAAATAAATAAAGGTTCTCTTTTTATTCCGAATTAGTGGTGCTGGTTTAGTTTGTTGGATGGCCGACTTTTACCGCAACGCCTCCTCCTCCTCCTCCCCTCCTCCCCCACCGCTAATAAGTCCTGTACTTATCAACAAATATCTTTCCTCCTCCTTTTTTCCTATTGGGAGGCTGTCAAACGTCCTCCTGCACAAAAATAGAAAAATATCTCAGAGGTTTCTTTGCTGCTATTGGCCATCTAACGGTGGGCCCAATCGTTAATTTCTCTCCAGCTACGATTGTTTATGCTGTCTCATCCTCGCCTCTTTCTTTATCCACTAAAAAATAAATACTACTACTACTATCACTGGTGGGAATACCCGTGTTACGCACGGTACTGATATTATTAAAAAAAATAAAAATAAAATGGTGAACAAATATATTTGTCCTATATTTTGGGACACTTTCACTATAAATAAAATGTAGTAAGCCCTATATTTGTACTTATTCATTTGAGAGTACATGACATTAGGCTTTGGGATTCCCGTTTAGTTAGAAAAAGATAATATAGTAAGTTTATTAGAACGGGCATTATGCATGCAAGAACAAATGTACCGTAAGATGCTTTAGATCCCATTTTAGGCCTACTGTGTTTTACTAAAGAAGAACAAAGCCAATCTAATGTGTTTGGTGAACAGCATTTATTGAATTTAGGAGTAGAGTTTTTAGCCAACGAAACATTTATAGAATAAACTCAAGATTAGTTTTTTAGAGCAATTTTTGTGTTACAATAAATAAAAATTGAAATTTATAAATTATCAAATAAAAAATACTCATATAAGTGTACACCCAAACAATATGATAAATAATTAATAAATACTGTGATGAAATTTGTATTGATTAAATACTTTTTAATAAAGTACAGCAACCTTAAACAGTCCTTAGCATGCAAGTAGTTGATAGAAGTTTGGCCTACCTACCGGACTTTCGCATGCACACTCTTCGAGCACATGATTCCATTTCAGTTTCCACTATTTGGTCCCTGTTCTTTTTTTCGTTATCTATATGCGCAAACTTTTTGAGAAGCAGCACAAGGTCCTTTGAACTTCCGCCTCTAGGTTTAAATCTAATTCCACTTAGCTTGAGATGGCGATGCTGAATATATTGTGCTCATTCATTTTTCAAACGGTACTAACAGGTTATGCTAATCTATTGAAGATCATTGTTGGCTGAAATCATTTAGCTACAAAACTTGATGGACTTTGTGAATTATTGATCGTAACATCAAAAGCTGTTAATGGTCTTTCAGGTCAGTTTCACACGTAAATGTTCTTCTATGAATTGCATGAAAAACTTCAGTTTTACTTCCCTCTCAGGTTGCTTGGTTTTATAAAATGCATTTTCATGATGTCAATCATTCAGTAAATTTTGAAAGGAATTAAGGTTTTGCGTGAGAATTATTACGGGTCTTGCTGTTGCTTTTCCAGAAAATGTTACTTTATTATCGCTTGTTGGCAAAAAAAAGTTATGCATTCATTTAGTTAAAAAGCTGTCTTTCTTTAATAGTATTTAAGTTAATGAACCTATCAGTGTTCATCTGCTTGTCAAATCATACTCTGATTCCGAACCTCAACATGATCAAGAGTAGTCGCGATTAATGTTGTGAAAACTTTGGAATTATCTCCTGTTATATCAAAAGCAATTTTAGACTTACTAACATTGGAGTATTTTCTGTCCTATCTGCACTAATCATATCTAGACAAAGGAAATCCTCTCAATTTCGAAAACCCGAGTCACGAACAGATGGCTAGACCTGACATTATATATATAAAATCCAACAACCCATTCAACTCACCTACTAATTTGAGAGGTTGAGTGAGTAAGTTGGGTATTGTGTCAATTTTGAGTTGGGTAATAAAAACTCACATAAATTTTAGGCGGTTTAGATATTTGTGTTAAACACCCATTACCCAACATTTGCTAATTGAATCAAGTGAATAATCAACACAGTCTTAAAAGGGTGAATAGTTACTCAAAAGCATCAACTATTGTTTTTTACTTAGCATATTTTTAATTCTCTGGTTACATACTTAATAGGGTATTACCCTAGATATGGAAAAGGCTAGATGTGTTAGAATAGTTGCTAGATTCATCGTGACAAAAAAAATAATAATTTGCATTTATGAGTTAGATATTTAGCTACAATGTGACTTTTTTTCATTTCTATTTATCATCATCAAAATGTTCAGTATGAAGAATTTGAACATTATTAAATTTTGAAATTAATTTCGAGACATTAATGTTAACTTACAACTACTCATGTTCTCGGTGCTTAATAACTACCACATAACTCATTCATGCTAAGAGATTTTTGTTTTTGTAAACCGTATTCTCAATATGTAAAAACAACATAAATAAAAAAGTACCATACTTTCTTTGTGAAAATATTAGCATAATATTTTTTTAGGTTTTGGTATTTGTTGGTGTTTGACACATACTTAAATTTTTTTTTTGTATGTGAAAATATATTTAAGAGAGTTTATATATCAAAATCTATTAATTAATATATTGGATCATATTTGGGTCATGAGTTTGAGATGACCCAATGTGACCCAACTCAAAATTAACCCAATCTAAAGTTGGGCGAGTTGAGTGTAATTCATTTAAATGAAAATCCAATATTAACTTGCCCAACCCATCCAATTGCCAGGTATACAGATAGCGAACAATTCTGCTGCGCAAATGGTGAACAATTTTTTCTAAACCATAATTATTGGTAAAGCCTTAAAATCAAAATTTCGCATTTCTTACAGAATTAAGGGAGAATATATTGTTTGCGTTAAGGACATCTTTTCAGAGAGCCAAAGGTATGAAATATTGTGCACATAAAAGAAAGAATGAAACAAAAATCAAAACATAGCCTAACAAACAATAAAGCGCCAAATATGAGTCAGGATTATTTTCTTTATGCAGTTAGTTTCATAATTTCTGGTATTCGATATAATTATGACCCTTGAATTTTTTTCATGTATATATCGTTAGGTATTTGGCATCACTACTAAACGTAATCCAAACTTAGAAGACACATTTTTCCTAATCCAGTGGATGTAAGTGGCTACATGGTGATGTGTGGTATAAGAATGGGTCTTTGACACGTGAAGGTACTAAGATGATATTGAACTCAGTGGAGCACATTTCAGGTATTTAATATCATGATGATAACTTTTGCAGATATTCGAAATCATTGTGTGAGAAATCTTGAGAAGTTTTCAATAAACTTCTGTAGCAAACACCGCCCAGAAAATAAAGAAAGTAATTCATGACAAAGAAAGTAAAACATGAAGGTTGACAAAAACATGAAGGAGAAAAAATAAAGAAAATAAAAGACCAAATCACATTAAAGAAAAAACAAAACATGACAAAAAGGAGGGGCAGAAGGGACCGACTAAAAAATTTAAGCTGACAGAATATACTTCCAGTTCTCTGAAGAAGGTTGATTTCCGT